TAATGATCCTATAAGACCCTACCCTGCCCCAATTGCATGAGATCCCGACTCATGACCATAAGATCCACATCCACACCTTGAGAAAATGGGATGGCAAACCACCGGGTTATTTTTTTTGGGTATCACCCGGTTAACCTGTCTAGAGGAGGTGTGTACCCTTTTTTTTTTTCCGAATAGTGGCTCGCCTTCTCTCTTGCTAAACCCTTTCCCTTCCAAACCTCCTCTACTTTCCATCCATATATTTGGTTTCTCTTTCTCTTTCTATCTATCGACAGTAATTGGTTTTCTACCTAAATCCTTTCAAATCTCTCTATGTGGACAGAGAAAAACCCATCAAAACAAATACCCATCAGTTTAGAGAGAGAAACTCAGACAAAGACAACACTGACGGTGTTTTATGACCCAAAATCTTGATGGGGAGTAAGAAAACGAAGCACCCTTTTTAAAATCAACATAAAATTTACAAAAATTTCAATGGAGCTTCATTTTCAGGTGTCATTTTCAATATCTCAACAAGTGCAATCAGTGTTGGAATCATGTTCATTTATGCAATTTTGAAGTCTTGGGTGTGAATCTTGCAATTTTCCTGGCGATTTTCGCTGCGATTTTGACGAATTTTTTCAAATCAATTTATGTTGAAATTTAGGAGTACATCATTTCTACTTGTGATGGATTAATGAGAAATGTACAAGATAAGATTGGGCCGGTCCTCTACAAAATTGTGTGAGAATCGTTAACCGGCATCAAATTTCTCTTTCAAGACTTTTACGGGTTAATCAGATGACCTGGCATTATGTATTCCTCATTATGTATTCCTCGAAATGTGGACATGAATCCTATGGATATGAGCAGGTGGATATGAATCCTATGGATCAATGGTTTAAAAAACGGATCGGTGACCCAGATCGGGCTCCCAAAAAATCGATCCGGATCAGCGAATCAGCGAATAGGCGATTCGGATCGAGAATCGGGTGAATCGATCAGAATAAAGCTTAAAAAAAATCAGAAAAAATTATTAAAATTCATTATAAATATTATTTTTTAAGAATTCAATAAGAAATGAGGGTACTCCATTAAGAATTTTCATGTTTTTTAATGAATATACGAATATTGATATGTTCTTTCCCTGCATGAACCGCCATTCAACATTTAATTTACATCACACAAAAGGATAAACATAGAATTATCATGGAATAAGTATATCAACATACATGGACTACAATAAAGCATAAAATTAGTAACATATGATCTAAAAATAAAATGATAGACGACGTTATTGTTCTTCTTGGTCACGCTGGTGCCATTAATGGAATTCGTTTAACAATTCATTGATTCGATCTAAAAACGAATCATCGATATTAGTAGGCGTTTGACTATTCCCAAATCCCTGAGTGTTAGTGTTTTGTTGTGTTCCCAATCTAAAACCCCCGAATATTGTTCATCCTTCATGCTCACCTGCACTGTCGTGCTCATCCCTACACTGTTGCTGTTGGGACTCGATATGTGAATAATATGGCTGGGATAGGGTGGCCTCAGAATCATCATCTCTCTCATTTTCTCTTTAAATAATATGGATTTAAAAAAAAAAAACAAATTTTCAAAAAAATCGATCATGGATTAAAAAAAAAAAATCACAAATTTTCAAAAAAATCGATCATGGATTAAAAAAAAAAAATCACAAATTTTCAAAAAATTCTATCATGGATTACAAAAAAAAATTCGATCATGGATTAAAAAACAAAAATCACAAATTTTCAAAAAATTCTATCATGGATCATAAAAAAAAATTCGAACATGGATTAAAAAAAAAAAATCACAAATTTTCAAAAAATTCAATCATGGATTACAAAAAATTTGATCATGGATTACATAAAATTTGATCATGGATTACATAAAATTCGATCATGGATTACAAAAAAAACAAACAAAAAAAATCAAAAAATTCAATCGTGGATTACAAAAAAAGGAAAAAACAATTCGATCATGGATTACAAAAAATTCAATCATGGATTACAAAAAACTCTATCATGGGTTACAAAAACAAAAAAAAACAAAAAATTCGATCATGGATTACAAAAAAAAACAAAAAATTCGATCATGGATTACAAAAAAAAAACAAACATTTCGATCATGGATTACAAAAAAAAACAAACATTTCGATCATGGATTACAAAACATTCGATCATGGATTACAAAAAATTCTATCATGGGTTACAAAAAAAAAAAATTCGATCATGGATTACAAGAAAAAAAACAAACATTTCGATCATGGATTACAAAAAATTCGATCATGGCTTACAAACAAAAAAAAACAAAAAAGTACGATCATGGATTCAAAAAAAAAAAACCAAACTTACGATCATGGATTACAAAAAATAAGAATCAAGTATTATAAATAAATAAATAAATAAATAAATAAAGACGTACGGAACTACG